CTTCACGATCTTCATATCTTCACCATCGATCCCTCGACCAAGATGCTATTTTATTTGGGTTCTTATCGGGAATATGTGCCGGTCGGAAAAGTTAATTTGGCAGATTGTGGCGCTCGGCAATTCTGCATGCCGGTTGGGCCTGACCGGCGCCGACCGGCGCCGACCGGCAGCGGCAGATCCCTGACAGTGTAGGTCACCTCAGGGAAGAATTACTAGTGTCTGCATATGGAACTCTTCCCTTGTTCTGTTTTAGACACAATTGTGTATCTGGCTAGAGCTTATCTTCCTAAAGACTAATTATACATGAAGTGACCTTGATGAATTGAAAGTCGCCAAACTAATAAATCTGATGAAGAAACACTAACATGACTTATTTATTCCGGAGTAAGAAAAAGGTTCAAGTTTTCTTTGAAACTGCCCAGCATAGGCTTTTTCTTTTCTGGCTCATGGACTGGTGATGTGCATGAGAGCTTTGGCGGTCTTTAGTTATGGGGTGTAGTTTGGTCATGTACAGGTACCGGTAGGCCTACATGAAGTATAACGAACGCTGTATTATTTTCATGTGTGTACATTATGTGTACATACCCAGATGATCTATATGATGTACATGTACATCTATACAATCGCACAATTTCTGTTATTCTGGGATTTCTCAGTCTTGCTGTATGATCTGTCCATAACTTCACCTCTCAGGTGATTGAATTTTCTTTAGAATTCACAGTTTTGTAAGAGGAAGTCGGAGATTTCACACAGGACCACCTGATACTGGGGTTCAATAGGATCATGCAGATTGACCAATCACGCCCGACATACCCAACCTGCACGTATATGTCCTTGTACGTGTAATGTAGTACATGTGTCATGCATGTTGCCGCAAAACATTTTGTTCATCAATGTTCATGTACATGTACATGTGCAGCCTTTTGGCATCGAGCACACATGTGCATGTGTACATTGTACATGTATGTACAATGTACCGGTAGGCCCTACTTTTTCACATTTAAGTACAATTTTTGGCTGATTAGGGATGTCCAAAATAATCTCACGAATCAGAACTGCATTTTGTGGGCATCAACTGTAAAATGCACACCAAAGACAATAACATACATGTGTACATGTGTACATTTACATGATGTGTACATTTATCACTGGGACATCCAGTATTTCTTTATAAATGTTCTGCATAGCCCAAGGCTTTCATTTACACATACTTTCAGTTTCAAATGGTTATATCACTCTTTTAAATGTGATGTGGATATAAACAGTATGCATACATGTACATGTATGTTGGTAGAACAAGGATGAGTTTCCTATAAATCATCAACGTAAATTCCGTACACACCTTAGTTGGTCATGTGTAGTCTGCAAGTATGTGGAGGGGAAAAAACAAACAGATTTGTAGATATACATGTACACGTGTACATGTACACTGCATAGACATGTACACATGTATACCACAGTTTAGAAAGACACAAGTGGTCTTTGAGGAAGCACTATGGTTGCAGATGAGAAAATGACAGCATCACTAAAAACATGAACATCCAACAAGTAGTCGCTAGTACATGTACATGTAGCATACATGTACATTGTACATGGCTACACGTACATGTTTGAGTGTGGACAGTAGCACCTGCATCGCACCACCACTTACATCTTCCACATTCATCATTTCTTCTTCCTCATGGTGTTCTCTACAGGAAGTCGCGGTGAAGTTAGAGTCCCACAAAGCGAGGCATCCGCAGCTTTTGTACGAAAGCAAATTGTACAAAATACTGCAGGGCGGAATTGGCATTCCCAAAATCAGGTAAGTACATTGTAGTTTTAAGGCTGAAAGCGACACGGTAAAGTCTCCGGTGCACCAAATTGTTCACTAGGAAGACCATTGAGATACAGTGTACCAGTAGTGAGTTGTGCCGATAGAACCAACCAAAGCGCAGGATCGCTCAACTGTCTGTAAATTCAGGGGAACCTTCTCATGGTGGGAAGGCATTACGAGTACAGGTGTTGTACAAAATACGGCCAAACCAAAAATTAGCTGTGCTTCCTATTACAATGAAAAATTAGGGTGGTTGGTTGGGTGAATTTTTTTTTTTACTCTAATTTTTTTTTGCCCAAATATTAGGGTTTGGTGATGGTCTGTATTATTTTTTTTTTGGGGGGGGCGTATATTTGTAACAGGTACTACTGGTAAGTCAATATTATATTAATACTGTACATGTGCCACAAATTGATCAAGCCAAAGATTATCGTATTGCCATCCATCTTATGCAAAAAAAGAAATTTAAACTACGGTACATGTACAATACAATGTACAGGACGATATACACAAAATTAGGCTTGGAGAAAGGCACCATAAGATTTTACGTGTATATTTGATTTGACGAATAAAAAGATCTAGGTTCCGCGTGATTTTCTACATGAAGGTTGAGTCGGGTAACCAGAAACACGGCTATTTTTTGTTTGGCCTAAGAGAAAGTGGACTGACCAGTAGGTTGTACCGTTGTTGCACCATTACTTGGGAGGGGTACTGAGGGAGACGAATCGCTGTCGCTCGTACAAAGTAGCAGTTTCCTACTGAGTTCTCATTTTAGGAAAGATTTGTTTTGAACTTGTGTGTCGAATGTACATGTACGTGATGTAAGTTGTACTGTGTTATTTCAATCTGCAGTGCATGTAGCGGTATGCTCCACCTTTTGTCATTGCATTCATACATGTATCTCTTGGCATCTCTCTAGGCAGCTGATAATGTCAGTGTCTTGTTCAAGTTCAGATTTTATTTTCTTTTTAAATCTTGTATTGAAATGTAGTGTTTATCCATCAGGTTGTCACTTGGCCGTTTATTTACACTTAGCGGTACATGTTTACATTTACATTACATTTTGAGACTAGCAGGAAATCAAAAGAAGAAAGGGAACCAAAGACACTCTCATTAATGCATTGCATTCAACTTCTTGAAATGGGAAGCAAAGTTAGAGGGACCAGACACTTACTTTGTTATACACGTAACCAGGACTTTGATATAATAGGAGTAGTGAAACAAAGAAAGACATATGAACTGAAGAACATGTACAGTAATTGGGATTGCCAGACTTCGCACTTTATAACAGTATTTTGTTATAACTGTGTTCTCTATATTGAGGATGGACTGTGCATTCAGTATTGGTATTCAAAAGGCACCCACGCACAGCATCCCACCATAATCCATTATTTCATGGTTCTGTGTCAGGCGTAGAGCTTACCAGCAGTTCACGCCAACTGAGCCATACATGTACAACTACCAGAACCGCTAATCGGGGACAAAAGAGGGTGGGTGTTCACCACAGATTTTGTTTGATTCACAGAAGCTGACTGCATCACCAACTTTTTTTTTTCTCCCATTGTGCGTGCCGGCGCATGTCTATTGCAGTGGTACCATGGTTATGCACTCTATTAAATTGAGCAATTTTATTGGATAAGAGCTGGTCACCTGAGATCAGAAGTTCATGTGTAACCCTCAGACAGATGCACTGGTACCGGTAAATGTGCATGTACATGTTGTCATTATTTATTACTGGCAAGGACAGTAAGAATTCTTCAAAGGCACCCTAGGTCTGTACATGTAGCTCGCAAGCCTGAAGCTGTGGAGAGGAGACAATGAGAGGCAGGCACAGATTTAGAGGTGGGAGGAAAACCGCAGAGGAATATTCTGGGTTAAACCCACGGAATCAGGTACTCGAAGGGACCGAAAACCCAATCCACATTGTGGACCCAGCCGGGAATCAAACCCGGACCACAGGGGTGGAAGGTGAAGAAGAACCACTACCCCAAACCGATGTTGTTCAGGAACCCCCCAAATATCGCCTTTATTGTTGTCAAGAGTTTTGAACATACTGGTACTGGTGGATAGTACATACTGTACATATACAGAGAGTACAGGTTGTACTAGAGGCTACATGGCTGTACACAAGCTAGCACATTCACTTCAGTATGATACCTGCAGTGCGTCAGCCACCCAACTTTGGACATGTACATGAACATTATGTATTGAAAGTCACAGGGTTATCAAAATGAAACAAAAAGTTCTGTTATCGCCCAAAGTTTGAGTAAACTCAAATATGATCTCAGAAGTTATGTGTACTTCCATTGACTCAAAGGTTATTGCAAATTGGGTGATATGTACATGTAATTAAAGGACATGGTCTGATGGTAGAGAAAAACAATTGTGAGTCGCAATGATTTATTTATTCATGGGTTTGTATGTATGGTACATGTACATGGACTCTACCTGTCATGCCATTGATCACAGCAGTTAACAGCTGTATAATGTTCAGTGTGTGGCTTTTTTTGTACATGTACGGTACATGTAATGGGGAGCAGGAAGCAATGAGGGGAACCAATACTGTACACATGTACTGATACCATGTACATGTACAGGAGATGTGCTACATGTATGCATCAGGCATGAAATAATAAGCCTTTCACAAGTTAGCTTTGACTAAAATCTGGTACACTGAGTTGTCTGATTGCACTTAAACATTGTAACAATTTGAATTCCCCAGACTAAAGACCAGTTTGCTTTTGCACAGCGACCACCATCTCTGGAATAGACTGGTTCCTTTGTGTCGTTCTTATGCATTGAAAACAGTGTCTTGGTGCAAGGCGTCTCTTACACATATGTACATGTAACTAAGCAAAGCTTGTTCCGAATCATGAGGTGAATGTGAAGAATGCATCTTTTTTAGCCTACACAAATGTTCATGTATGGGGATTGGGCACACATGTACATGTGCATTGTTACATGTATGTATTTACATGTAAAATGTTAACTGAGAAAGTTGGCGAACATGTTGATAATACATACAGTACATGTGTGCACATGTAGCAAGATTCATGTACATGGGCATGATCAGATGGGGGATTGCATAAATAATTGAGGCACTGCAGTCACCTTGAGTGAAGTGAATGAATGTGTAATGTGCACAAAAGTACAGTGTACATGTACATGTATATTCTGTGCATGTGCATATGTGTACATGATGCACATACATGTACATGTTATTAACCAAGTGTTATATGTACATGTACATGTTTCTCTCACAACTTTGTTTAGATTCCTATTTCTTAGTCCAGCCTGTCCCTCAAATTCAACCTGGATTGGAGTATCACTAATCCTCAGTTAATTTTATTTGTTTTAATGTCATTTCAGAATGTACATGTATGCAGTTACATGAAACTGCCATTTTTTTTTTCTTTTTTAATACATGTACATGTATGGTACATTAAATGTACATGTAATTCATGGCTTAATAATCATGTTGATTTAACCCTATCCTTCCCCAACCACACAGAATTAAACTGTAGTTACGTGTTTAATTCTGTGGGGATAGGTCTGGTAGGGCCATAACAGCTGGCTTTTGCATTGGGTTTGGCATACTGTACCTCAGAAAAACAAAGTCCAACAGCCTCTGTGCACAAAGTTCCATATGGGTGTTTAACTTTGTGTGAATGGGGAAGGTTAAGGCCAGCAACCCTTGAGGTGTTAGGGTTAATGAAGGTGATGCAATACAAATTTTGAAAGTTTTTCAGGTTTACAGTTCTACCATTTTAAGAAGTGGGCATACATCTTCTTTGAATAATTTTCTTTGTGTAAATGCAAGTACTAGTAATTGACCGTGAAGTGAATGCTTGATTAATTTTCAGCTGGTATGGTACGGAGAAGGATTACAATGTCCTGGTCATGGACTTGCTTGGTCCCAGTCTGGAGGACCTGTTCAACTTCTGCAGTCGCAAGTTCACAATGAAGACCGTCTTGATGTTGGCAGATCAGGTGAGACAGTGAACTTTTCCCCAGCGTTTCTTCACGCATTCCCACAAGAAACCACACTCCAAAAATTGGCTTTCATTCAGCGCTGTTTTTCTAGTAAGATTTCAAGTTGGCACAGTGGCCATTTTTGAATGCGCTGGCCCATTGAGCCCAGTCCCAATGGTGTTCTGGCCGGTTACGACTATGAATAATATGTCTGGCATCCACGGACAAAGGTCGGATGATACATGTACACTGTATGCCTACTCGGCCTGCATGTAGCTTTTGGGGATTGGCTTATTTTATTGTACATGTACATGTGCGTGTAGCTTACGTTAACATGTTCCGTGAGGTACATGTATGGTGCCTGTTGTACAGGTGACTGCATTCTGACATGACATGTACGGTTGATTAATTCCTCAGAGTTTTCACGAAGAGGTACATACATGTACATGTAATTCAACAAGCTTCTAAAAACACACAAGCCACAACAAATGTCAGGCATATATACATGTAAAGTGATGCTGCCTCTCACTTGTACCATGTACCGGTACCATACCAGGACACCATATGCAATTACTGAAATTTGCATGCATAACATCTCCGCCTTTTTGGCCGTGCCTTCTTTCTCTGCAGATGATCAGTCGTATCGAGTTTGTCCACGGAAAGAATTTCATCCACAGAGACATCAAGCCCGATAACTTCCTAATGGGCATCGGCAAACACTGCAACCAGGTGAGCTTGGATCAAATCAACTGAATACCACACCTTTCGTTTACCTGTATGTGGGTGATGGTAGACTCTCCCATTATTAAAAACATCGGGCTTTCGCCCGCATTAGAAATTGAGTGCCTGACTTAGCTTTAAATTGAAAAACAAGCAGGGGTGTGAGAATTCAGCTTTTTAGCTGATTTCAGCTTTTTTGGTTTAGATGTTGACCCTGAATTTCACCTGGTTTGTAAAAGAGTATTGGAACTTTTCACATATATCAGGTTTTTGGCTAGCTATTTCCAGCTTGTTCTTGCAATAAATCAAACATGGTAAAGAATCAGAGGTACATGTACTCAACGTCAGAGTTAGTTATGAAAGGGTTCCCGCTACCTGGAAAAGTCATGAAAAAGTCAAGGAAATTTGTTTTCGTTTTTCAGGCCTGGAAAAGTCATGGACTTTTGTAACATTACTCAAGTCATGAAAATTCATGGAAATTTTCAAACACTGTATGTAATTTCTATTATCAGAAATAAGTACATAAAAATGTGTGATTTTAGTCCCAACTTTAAAAGTCTGAATAGTCCAAGAAGTGGTGTTATTGGGTCATAGATTTTCATAAATTGGTCATGGAAAAGTCATGGAAATTAATTGCCCTTTAGGTTCAGGAGCCCTGCTATGAAAATAAATCGGTAGCTAGTTTGTCCCAGTATTATGAGTAGCTGTGTCCATTTTTGTATTTATTTTATTTTGTAATCAGCTCTTCATTATTGACTTTGGACTGGCCAAGAAGTACCGTGACAGCAGATCCAAATCCCACATCCCCTACAGGGAAGACAAGAATCTCACAGGCACGGCAAGATACGCCAGTATTAATGCACATCTTGGCATTGAGCAAAGGTCAGTAAATATCCTCTCATTCACCCTTCAAAAGGTAAACACCCTCTTTAAAAAAAAGAAGTACTGTACATGTGAAAACAATACGACATGTTCCACTTGAGCTACGACTAAAGTATATCACCAAATGCTGATTAAAAACCTTGATTTGTATTTAAAATGTTATTGTATTCACTGTTCAGCTGTAGATTGTATTGGCTGATCAGTAGAGTAATATTAATATAAATTTAGGTTAAGTACTCAATGTTTTTATTTCTTTTTAACTGATTTTTGAATAGCAGGAGAAAAATGTTTCCTGTTAGGACAACATATCTGCATGGTAATATTCTTGTGCACAGATCTGAAGATTCAAACTGAAGATGAAGCATTTTAGGCAAACATACATGTACAAGTACCAGAGCTTCTCCTTTTCTGGCTTTTTCAACTTCAAGTGTATTAGATTACTGAGTATCAACTTACAGGTTAAATAGTTCTTGTAAAACTGAGAAATACAATCGTAGTATCAGAATATCCCCTGTTTTTCATTCAGTTTTATTCCACAGTGTACAAGTAGAAAAAATGATTTGAATGTTCAAACGTTTGAATATTAGACACTAGCTTAATTAATTGAAACCAGGGATGGGTTTAAATGAATCAGACCTTAACCATAGTGGTTGAAATACTTGAATGTGTAAAACGGAAATAAAAAAGAGGAAAGTAACAGACCCAACCACAGGCCGATAACTGCATACGTACATGTACCTGCCAACCATTTACATGTAACTGCAAACGTACCAGTACCTGCCAACCATTCTGATTAGGAATCATCCCAATTTTAAAGTTATTAGACCGCGACAGGTCAGAACATTCCAGTTTCCACAAAAATGGGAAAATGATCAGTAAAAATGTTCCAGCAAAAGTGAGCACTATTTTCAGAAAACAGAGATGCTGCTTTACAGAAAAGAAGGGGTGGTGTTTGCTAGGTTTTCCATTGAAAGTTATGGAAGCTTGACCGATGCATGTTTGTGTCGATTGCTACTTGTATGTTTGTGTAATGTCCACTGTCAAGGCTCAAAGTGGCAGTGTTTAAACATGGAAATGTGTCCACATGTAAATAGTTTCTCTGGCCCGGCTCATTCTTTTGCTATCTGATGGCTCAGATTTCTGACTTTCTATTGCTAGCAGGTGCATGTACATGTATGAACAGAAGTTGCTACAGTGAACAATGAGCAGCTGCTAAGCTACTAAGAATGTCAATTCTCAACAAATACATAACCTTCACATTGTGTGTACTCCACCCTGAGATATCAGTATTATTGTATATATACACACATGCATTTAATGAACTCTCTCTAATTGGGATTTAGTCGACGGGATGACATGGAGTCTCTGGGCTACGTGCTGATGTACTTCAACAGGACCAGTCTACCATGGCAGGGTCTGAAAGCTGCCACCAAGAAACAGAAGTATGAGAAGATCAGCGAGAAGAAAATGTCCACGCCTGTGGAGGTGCTCTCTAAAGTGAGTGAATGTGGTAGTTCTTGGCTCGTAAAAGGTCAAGGACGCTGATGTCAAAGATATCTGCATCCTATGGTGGATTGTGTGTCACACCTAGAAGGGAGTTGTAGATGTGATCCAACCCTACAAAATTAGTTTCAAAATCAAAATCTTCCACTTTAACCACTACCAGCTGGGGACTCCGAAATCGGAGCCGTATGGTTTATGTGTGGCCTGGGTCTCCGAACTCGGACAAAGGAAACAGGGCCCTGTAACAAAAAACCGTACTCCGAACAAAAGACCAGGCTGCTGGGCATGACCGGCATTTTTCATTCTCAAAAGTGGTGATAATCCAGCGTTATTTTGAAACCATATACCAGGGTTTGGGGTATTTAGAGCAAGCGGATTACCTCCGGGGACAAAAGCTCTCCACCACTGCAG